AACCAATTTCCAGATGATGGTGTCACTGCCCAACCTCTTCTGTGTTAAGCAATTGAAGGGACTAGATGTCTTCCCATAATTGCGCAATTGTTCCTTGGATGACAGTAAGGTTTTATCGTGTCCACATTCTCTAATGAAGTACCGTTCAGTACTTCTGTAAAACAGAAAAAGGAAACCTAATTTCCTCTTCAGCTTACTCGATCAACATATCCTTCTGATGCTATCCCCCTCATGTACTTATCCACTTTCCTCTTAATGTCAGCTCTGCTCTTTACCTCAACCACTCCATGTTGTGAAGGTGAATTTAAGAAACTTTGGAATTTGCTGAATCCATTCAATTTAAAAATGTGAGAACTTTCAGCTTATCCTAAATATTGTCCTTCAGGGAAGGAAACCTGCAACAACCGCCTGGCCAAGTATACATGTGAGTCCAGTCCTACACAACATGGTTGATACTGACCTGCCCTCTGAAAGTGACTGAGTGAACAATGATAAGTAATCACTAATAAGTCCAATAAGAAGAGAAAATCAGAGAGAGGTTTGAATAATTCTGGCACTCTGTCAGCATAAGACGAAGCTGATCTCAGCCCAGTGAAATCTGTACAATCTCTCCTTTCAAGATCTGAGGACAAGTCTTTAAGTGAAGGAGAACTGCCCACAGACTGGACAAGTAGCAGTGCTACTCATTGAATCATGTCAATTTGGAAACATCCCAGACTCCTCCATCACCATCCCTGGGAATATCCCGTCCCGCTGGCAAATGGGGAAGTCCTCAATATTGAGTCCATGGAGTCTCATGACTTCAGGTCAAACAAGTTCAAGGAAAACTATCACTTCCGTCCCAACTGATGAAGGTGTATTTTGGCATGATGAAGCAAAAAAGAAGCATATTATCTCAATGGTGAGAGATTGCAAAGCTCTGAGTTAGTGAAATCCATGTTTTCTCACGCATGAAATGCGAAAGATTCCTCTGCAGGTATATTAAGTAATTCAGAAAGGTGATAGACCATTTTCATTCATTGTGATGGGAACTGAACACAAAAGTAGGGAGGTTATGCTTCAGATATATAGCACACTGGTAAGATCCCATCTGGTGTCCTTTGTACAGAATTGATCACATTCTTTAAGGAAGGATGTAAACGCATTGGAAGCAGTTCAGACCAAATATTATCAGACATACTGGAATGATAGGTTTTTTGAACAATCTGGGCTTGTATCTTGTAGAGTTCAGAAGCAGTGGTGAGGTTTGGTGTGGACACTTTGGGCCGAATAACCTGTTTCCACACTGTAGGGATTCTATGAAATTCTATGAAACACTAGGAGTGACAATGAAAGTAATGATGATGAACAAAAAGAAAGAAATAGTTCAGAACATGGACTGAACATGGCAGCACCCCTTGACTGACTGTCCACTCTCATGTCACTAAAGAGACCTCCCCTTTGGCTTTCATACTTTGCAATTCTATTCAAGCACATGCAGTGTGTTGGCCCCATGAGCTGCTGGCACATGCTGTAGCTCTGATGTTGACGCAGCACTGTGCCACACAGTGACCCTCTTAGCATGTACTCGTCACTATTTTCTGGAGCCTCAAGCTTCCTGTCTGTCCCTCTGTGCTAAAACACTGTCCACAGGCCACAAGATGCCAGACTCTCTCTCTCTGCTAACGCCGGAAGATGCATAGCTCCCCATGTCTGTTCATGCTGCCTCTACACCAAGAAATTATGCTTCAGTCTGCCTGGCAAGATCGTTGGAAGCAAGAGGGGCTCTCTAAGCCTGGCTGAGGACATGTTCTGTAGTTAATGAGTTGCCCAGTTGTGTGGATGAAGGGTCCAGGCCAGTGACAATGGAAGGACCTATTGCATTTGAAGCAGTTCCAAATAAATTGACACAAAAGAAAATAGCTGGCAAAACCATGAACTTGTCCATTTCAATTCGGAGGATTGACCTTGATAGGCACCCGCTTAGCTTTTGCTGTTGATGTTTTGAGCATTCATGTTTCTTAATCTGGGATATGGCGGCACGGTGGCTCAGTGGTTAGCACTACAGCCTCACAGCGCCAGGGACCCAGGTTCGATTCCAGCCTTGGGCGACTATCTGTGCGGAGTTTGCACATTCTCCCCGTGTCTGCGTGGGTTTCCTCCGGGTGCTCCAGTTTCCTCCCACAGTCCAAAGATGTGCAGACTAGGTGGATTGGCCATGCTAAATTGCCCGTAGTGTTCAGGGGTGAGTGGGTTATAGGGGGATGGGTCTAGGTGGGATGCTGCAAGGGTCGGTGTGGACTTGTTGGGCTGAAGGGCCTGTTTCCACACTGTAGGGATTCTATAATCAAGAAAAGTGAGTTAATAGGGGAGTTGTGTAATTATTGAGATACAAATGCACACAGATAGGCTTCTCATGACCTGCTTGATCTCACTTAAGGACGGGAAATTTAATTTTAAGAGTTTATCATGATGGCAAGAATCTGGTTTTTGGTCGCTCACTCAATTAAATCATCACACCAGCCATTATTCTCAACACCTCTTAGAGGGAAACTCGCACCGATTTTGATCTTCATCTGTTCCCTTAATATCTTGAAGATTTTCATCAAATTGTCTAAACCTTAATCTTTGAGGTGTCAGATAATACAACCCTGGTTGTATTATCTCTCCTTATAATTTAACTCTTGGAGTCCATGTTTCTTCTCAGGAATCTATTTTACATTCCCACCAAAGGGGGCTCTCATATGTCCAAAGTTCACATAAGTTCACACGCTAAGATGTGGTGCTCTGAACTGCTCACATTAATCCCAAGAGTGGTGTGTGGCATTGACTAACTGTGGCATAACTCCTACTCATTCCCTAGAAACAAGGCTGCCATTTGCCAGCTTTCAGCAAACCAATCATGGAGCCACAGGTCAGAGAGGACAAGGGTTGCCCTGAGGAAGAACTCATCACTCTCCATCCTGCTGATTGACCTTCATAGCCGCTTGTTCTGACAATGCCTCTGTATTTTAAATAGCTTATGCTTGTTTTCAAAACTCTCAAAACCATACCTCTTCCTATTCATGTTGACAAGATCTGATATTATCTCTGTCATGACCCTGGATTGTTTGCATTGTTTGGAGCTTGCATCAAATCATAAATGAGCCTAGTTGTCACCAATCCAACGTCGAAAAGGCACTTTGTTTTTCTGAATCATCAGGCTGGAGTCAATGGGCAGGGTCACGTTTGGCGTAAACTGACCTGCTATTGTAATAGCTTCTCAGTTACCAAGATCACCCAGCTCTGATCTTTAATATCTTATTAGCATAGCACACTTCCACCAGGACTGTAATTCTCAATCACACCTGTTGCCTCAGCACTCTCCTCATTGATCTTCTGTGATTTACCCAAACTTGTCAAAACTTTGGACACTCACTTTCTTTTGAGTACTGACACCTACTCATTTATCACTGTTGTTTGTACTGATCACTGATAGCTTCATGTCCTCAATGCTTTGATGTCAACACCCTCTACTTGCTTCACTCATTCCACCATGATCTGTGCCCTACCCTTCTACATTTTCAACCATGTTTCGACCCATGCCTTAGAAACTTTGTTTCTTTGACTCTGGCTTACTGTGTATCCTCCCTTTCATTTTCAGCCATTGTGACTTTATATTTCTGAACTCTTTTCTTAAACTCTCCCATGCTGTTGCATCTCTCTCCACCTTCAGCTGACCTATAAATAAGGTTGAGAGCTTCATGTGTGAGTGCAATTGGAGTAAACCTAATTCTGTGAGGGAAATAGTGCTTCTGACAATTACATTCGAGGAAAGAAAGGAGAAGATTTGCAGGTTCAATTATCTTGTCAGAAAGGATTGCGTAGGGTCATGGTGGAAACATGGATGTTTGATGAACCAAATTGTTCACTTCTTTTCTGGAAACATTCTTGACTAAGGTTGTAAATTACTCAGAGATAGTAACAACTGCAGATGTTGGAGTCAGAGACAACACAGTTTGGAGCTGGAGGAACACAGCAGGCTGGGCAGCATCAGAGGAGCAGGAAAGTTCATATTTTGGGTCAGGACCCTTCTTCAGAAATGGGGAGGGGAAAGGGAGCTGGGAAATAAATAGAGAGAGGAGGGGTGCGGCAGGGGAAGGTAGGTGAGATGGTGACAGGTGAGTGCAGGTAGGGAGTGGTCGGGATTGCTCAGTGGGATGCATGGGGCGAATAGGTGGGAGAGAAGATGGACAGGTTATGTCAGGTCAAGGAGGTGGGGATGAGAGGGAGGGTTGGACATGAGATGAGGCGGGGGTGGGGAGATTTTAAAACTGGTGAATTCCATGTTTAGGCCATCGGGCTGTAGGCGCCTGAGGCAGAATATGAGGTGTTGTTCCTCTAGTTTGCGTGAGGTATCATTGTGGTTCTGGAGGAGGCCCAGAATGGACATGTCACCCAGGGAGTGGGAGGGGGAGTTAAAATTGTTGGCAATCGGAAGGGGTCATTGGGAGCAGTGGATACAGTGGAACAAGTTGGGGGATATACAGGTGAACCCCCGTCTGCCTCAGGAGCCTACAACCCGATGGCCTAAACATGGAATTCACCAGTTTTAAAATCTCCCTACCCCTAGCCTCATTCCATGTCCAACCCTTCCTCTCATCCCCACCTCCTTGACCTGACACAACCTGTCCATTTTCTCTCCCACCTATCCGCTCCTCCCACCTCATTGACCACTCCCCAACTGCACTCACCTATCACCATCCCACCTACCTTCCCCAGCCCCACCCCTCCTCTATTTATTTCTGAGCTCCCTTCCCCCTCCCCATTTCTGAAGAAGGGCCCTGACCCGAAATGTCAGCTTTACTGCTCCTCTGATGCTGCCTGGCCTGTTGTGTTCCTCTAGCTAAACTATGGTTTTATATATTTTAGTTGTTGTAGCATGCTTTTGTAGAAAACAGTATTTAGTGCTAACATTTTCACATTGTCTCAATTTCTTTTGTTTCTGTGAAACAAACCATGATATATTTATACAAATGATACATGATACAGAAAGCAGTGTTTATTATGAAACCAGAGTTCAAACTGTTATTTTCTATTTGGTGAAGGCAGAATGCCATTATGGCTAAATAGCAAAGGTAGACAGCCATAAAGAAACAGCAGTAGTTATTTATAAAATCTTTAGAACAATTTATGGAGCATCTGAAAAAGAATTTGGATCAACTGTTGCTTCAATAGGTATCTCTGTAGGTTTTTGAGCCAAGTGTTCCTCTTGATGCTTGGAGTATTTAGCAGCTCTTAAGTAGCGTTGATAATCTCTGCATGATTGGTCGTCATGAGCATAGCATTCATCAGTGGGTGGAGGTTTGGGCTTGCACTGAGGTTCTTGTGGAGATTCTTGTCGACCACAATTCTTGCAGCTATAAGAAGATATTTTATTTTAGATAGAACTGTTTTTGAATACATAGTACTGCTTTGTGCAATATCATTAAATGTTCAGAAAAGACCAAATATGCAGTCATTTTTTTTCTAATTAATATTCTGATTCATTTAGCATATGCCAAAACTCTTGTATTAAGGAGGGGAAATATATATGGCTAGGCAAGGAATTTAAAGATAATATAAAGTCAAAAACCAAAGCATATCATATTACAAAGGCAAGTGAAAGGCTGGAAGCATGGGAAACATTAAAAGATTGACAAAGGGTTGCTAAAACATAATGAGAAGAGCAAAGGTAAATTATGAAAAAAAAAGCTCAAACTATAAAGATGGACAGCAAATGCTTCTGTATGTATATAAAAGGAAAGAGAGTAGCTAGAGTGCATGTTGTTTCCTTGGAGGATAAGACTGGGGAGTTAATAGTGGTTCCAGTCTTGCTCCAGGAACATGAGTGGGGAACACAGAAATGACAAAGTAACTAAATCAATATTTTTCCGCAGTTTTCATGGTGAGGCCACTAGTACCAACCCAATGGTGACAGGTAATACAGAGGTTCTACAAATTGATAACTTGGAAGAATCATCATTACTAAGGAAAATGTACTAAGCAAACTATTGGGATTGAAGACAGACAAATTTCCAAGGCTTGATGGCCTACATCTTAGAGTCTTGAAGGAAGTGGCAGCAAAGGTAGTGGGTCCATTGGTTATAATATTCCAAAATTCCCGGATGCAGGAAAGGTTCTAGTTGATTGGAAAAGTGCTAATGTAATGCCCTTATTCAAAAAGACAGGGAGGCAGAATGTAGGAAACTACACATCAGTTAATTACCGACCAGTCATTGGCAAATTGTCAGAATCCATAGTTCACAAAGCACATTTGGGAAGTCAAAATGCAACCCATCAGTGTCAATGTGGCATTATGAAGGGTAAATCATGTTTGATTAATTGGCTAGAGTTCTTCAAAATGTAACAAGCAAGATGGATAATGGGGGTCCTGCAGATGTAGTATATGTGGATTTCCAGAAACCATTGTCAAGGTACTGTGCAAAAGGTTAATACACAAGTAATATCAAATGGGGTTAGGGGTAAATTATTAGCTTGGAAAGAGGATTGGCTAACCAATTAAAACAGACAGTTAGGATAAATGGGCGTTTTCTAGTCAGCAAGATGTGCAAGATTGGGGTGGACAGGTTTCGGTTCTTGGGCCCAACTGTTGATAATCGAGATTAATGACTTGGATGCGGGGATAGAGAATACTATAGCCAAATTTGCATATGATGCTAAAATAGGAGGGAAAGTAAGCTGCAATGAAGAAATAAGAAATTTACAAATGGATGTGGAGAGGTTAGGTGAATGGCAAAAATGTGGCAAGTGAAGTTTAACATGAATAGGCATGAGGTTATCTATTTTGGTCAGAGGAATAGAAAGGCAATTTATTAGTTAAATGAAGAGAAACTTCAGAGTGCTTCGGGTGTCCATGTGCATGAACTACAGAAAACTAGTATGTAGGTATAGGCATTTATTGCTAAAGGAAGACAGCATTAAAGTAAAGAAGTGTTGCTACAACTGTACAGGGGAATAGTGAGACTACATCTGGAATATTGTGTCCTCTTACTTGAGGGAGGATGCAGTTGTATTGCAGGCAGTTCAGAGGAGATTTGCTAGGTTGATTCCAAAGATGAGAGGGTTTGTCTTAAGAAGAGAGAGTGAGCAGTTAATGCCAGTTCTCTCTGGAGCTTAGAAGGATGAGAGGAGATGTAACAGAGGTATGTAAGATGCTAAAGGGAATTAACAAAATAGACATAGAAAGGATGTTTTCTCATATGGGCAATCTACATAAGAAAGTAAGAAATAGGAGCAGGAGTAGGCCATCTAGCCCCTGGAGCCTGCACTGCCATTTGATAAAATCATAGCTGATCTTTTCATGGACTCAGCTCCAGTTACCTTCTAGAACAAGAACAAGATCATCTAGAACAAGAGTTAATAGTTTTATGATAAAGGGTGGCAGATTTAAAACAGAGATCAAGACACATTATTTCTCTCAAAGGGATATAAATCTGGAATTCTCTACCCCCAGGATGCAGTGATTGCTGGACCATTGAGTAAATTTAAGGAGGAGATAGAGACTTGCAGGAAGTCAAGAACAACAGAGAGAATTTTGAAATAGCGATTGCATATCCAGAGCCAATGCAGGCCAATGATTAGCGAACAGGTCTTAACGTAAGGTCACAAGCAGTATAGATTTGAATGATGTTGGATGGTGTGAAGTATAAGATCAAGCAGAAGAGCATTGGAATAGTTAAGCCTTAAAGTAATGAAGGAATGGATAATGATTTTACCAACCGATGAGCTGCGGCAAAGCTGATGTTGGGGAGCAGGGGTTAGTATTAGTTTTGGGCAGATAAGACATCAGAAGCTCGTCACAGGTTCAAAGTTATGAACACTCTTATTTAGCCTCATAGAGGGCTATGTTTGGAGCTAAAAAATGAAGCTTGTATCCAGGACTGAAAAGACAAGCTTTGGTTATCCAAATACTTAATTCGGAGAAATATTTGCTCATTCAGCTCTGGATGTTGGACAAGCAGTTTAATAACTTAACATCAGTGAAGAAGTAGAGTCAGCTAGTGGTGGGGTAGAGCTGTATGTTGTAAGTGTACAAATGAAAACTAACACTGCATTTTGACCAATATCATAGGAGGGCAACATGCAAAAAAATAGGACTGGGCCAAGGATTGATCTTTGGGCAATACCAGAAGTATCAGTGTGGGAACAGTAAGAGAAACCATTTCAAGTGATGCTCTGGCTATGAGAAAATAGGCAAGGCTGGAATCAGGCAGTTATAATTCCATCCAGCTGCACTACAGCAGAGAGACATTGGAGGAGAATTGTGTGGTCAACTTTGTCAAAGCTGCTGAGAAGTTGAGTAAGACCATAAAATATAGGAGCAGAATTAGGCCATTTGTCCTATAGAGCCTGCACATGGCTGATATGTTTCTCAATCCTATTCTCCTGCCTTCCCCTAGTAACCCTTGATCCCCTCACCAATCAAGAACCTATCTATCTCTGTCTTAAATACACTCAATGACTTGACCTTCATAGCCTTCTGTGGCAATGCATTCCACAGCTTCAAGATTCTCAGGCTGAAGAAATTCCTCCTCATCTCAGTTCTAAAAGATCATCCCTTCACTCTGAGGCTGTGCCAGCAGGCCCTCATCTCTCCTACTCTTGGAAACATCTTTTCCACATCTATTCTATTCAGGCCTCTCAGTATTCTTTTAAGTTTCAGTGATGTTCCCCCCTCAAACTTCTAAACTGTATCAAGTACAGACACAGAGTTCTCAATCGCTCCTCATATCCAAGCTCTTCATCCCCGGAATCATTCCTGTAAAGCTCTTCTGGACCCTGTCCAATGCTAGCACATCCTTTCTTAGATAACGGGGTCCAAAACTACTCCAAATGTCATCTGACCAGAGCCTTATACAGCCTCAGCAGTACATCTTTGCTCTTGTGTTTCAGCCCTCTTGAAATGAATGCTAACAGTGCATTTGCTTTCCATCTGCTAACTGAATCTGCATGTTAACCTTAAGAGAATTGTGAAGTAGGACAAGTCCCTTTGTACTTCAGATTTCTGAAACCTTTCCCCATGTAGAAAATAATATATGCCTCTATTCTTCCTACCAAAGTCCACCAAATTGTATTCCATTTGCTACTTCTTTGCCCACTCTCCAAGCCTGTTCAAGTCCTTCTGCAGCATCCCTGCTACCTCAACGCTACCTCAACACTACCTGCCCCTCCCCTTATCTTTGTGCCATCTGCAAACTTAGCAGCAATGCCCTCAGTTCCTTCATCCAGATCATTAATTATATAATGTGAATAGTTGTCGTCCCAACACAGGCCACTGCGGAACTCCACTAGTCACTGGCTGCCTTCCTGAAAAAACCCCTTTATCCCTATTTTCTGCCTTCTGTCAGTCAGCCAATCCCCTATCCATGCCCTTGCCTCAAAATTATGGGCTCTTATCTTATTTAGCAGCATCCTTTGCAGCACCTTGTCAAAGACCTTCTGGAAATCCAAATAGAACACATCTACTGGCTCTCCTTTGTCTAACTCGTGCAATACTAAGAAGGGAAAGTTTACATTTGTCACTGTTTCATAACATACCATTTATGATTTTTTTAAGAACTGTCTTGATAATGTGGCTCAGGCAGAAACCTGATTGGACTGTTTCAGCAGGATGTTCTGGAAGAGGTGATGATGGATTTGGAGGTGATAACTTAGGTGCTATCCTCCAGTTTCAGAGATGGTGTGCTTGGAGGTGAGAAGAACAATTAATTAGGTGGATGGTCTCTTGATATGCAACAAACTGTGCAACACTGAGGGAATGGACCTGGGGTAGAGTGATTGCTGCTGAGAACTACCCTCCTGCCCTTGTTTCTAACACCCCTTGCATTCTTTTCGCTATGATCCCCACCCTCAGAAACCACTCCCAAACCTTTCCCACTGGGATCTTCATCCTGGGAGTCCAGGGGGTATTTTTCTGGTATCAGCTAAACTGTCAATGAGTTCAGGAGTTATCATAAGGCCAGAAAGCATCCAAGGACCAGGAAAGTTTAGAACTGAGGAAGGGTCACTGGACCCAAAATGTTAATTCTGATTTTTTTCTTCCCAGATGCAGCCAGACTTGCTGAGCTTTTCCAGCAACTTCTGTTTTTGTTCCTGAAAAGTCAGCTTTCCTGCTCCTCTGATGCTGCCTGACCTGCTGTGTTCCTTCAGATCCACACTGACTCCAGCATCTGCAGTTCTTACTATCTCTGGAGTTGTCGTGTTCTGATTCGTTGGCAGCTCCAGTCAGGCGGGACTTCCTGCTCTGGGGTCCTAATTCTGGCAGAAAACCTGCTGGCAGCCAATCAGCTGCCTGCTTTCTGGAAAACCCAACAACCTTTGTTACCTTAGTAAGCCTTGGGTTTCCCTCTTGGAAGCTCTCCCACTTTTTAATCTAGTCCAACAGCACTAACATTTCATCAAGTGTTCAGTGATTATAGAGGGAGCAGGGAGATAAGGCAATAATTTGGAATGATAGAGGCACAGAAAGGTTGATTTTTTTGGTGAATGTGCTGATGCTGGTAGGTATAAAGGAGGGAGGCATAGTACTTGAAGAGAGAGAACAGTTAATAATATCAGTTAATACAGAGAGTCATTGGTTTATGAGAATAGGTTTGAGGGAACTGGAAGTGGCCTCTTGGCCAGTAAAAGTAAAAACTACCAGAAAATAAACATTACAAAGCAAATTAGCGATCAAAATCTTGCCATATTGTGTACAAAGTCAACTAATCACCCATGTGCAATCCCGTAGTGTCTGTATTCCATGTGCCATTATCTGTCTTAATGTTCCCGTTCAATATTAGCCCCAATATCTAGTAGAAGTTGACAGCCCAAGCTTGTAAGCTGACCTTGCACAGCAGGAGTATTAGTTGTCACAGGGAGTTGCTGCATTAGGCTCAGGTCACCAAGTGTGTGAATAGAATGGGTTATCACTTCCATGACGGAAAAGTTGGTCTCAAAGGTCTGTGCATGACACTGCATTTTGCTGGTGTCTGATTTCATGCTTCTTGATAATGGCTGTATACCTTCAAGTGGGCTTCTTAAATCACCAAGCGTTTTGTGGATCATTCCCAAAGCAACACTCTCCAACCAAAAGCCCATTTGAGTTCTTTTCAGCAGAGCACCTGAGTGACCTAGCCCTCTGCCATTTGTGTTATCTTTGCCCCCTCACCCAGAATACAGACCACTTATCCCTGATGTCTCAAACAATGAAGTTCCTGCTTCTGTTCTGCTTTCCTCTTAATGATGCACACTGTCACTGTCTGAGCTGCAAGTGTGAAATACTGATGAAATGCCTTCATCATCATTTTCTTCTTGCTCATTGTCCAATTCTGCCTTGGTCACATTTTCAGAGTACCGGAAAGAAGAAAAACAGAAGAATGAAGTCATAGAGATAGTAGGAACTGCCGATGCTGGAGAATCTGAGATAACAAGGGTCTAGAACCGAAACGTCAGCTTTCCTGCTCCTCTGATGCTGCTTGGCCTGCTGTGTTCATCCAGCTCCTCACCTTGTTATCTCAGAATGAAGTCATGGTGTGCTATAAAGTAAGACCTACATGCTTTCACTATCTGGCAGGTTGTAACACAGAAGAAATTGTAGGTTGAGGGGTTAGTGAGAAGTATTAGGTGAGGATACTTTCATCTTCAGTGGTTTCAACTCATCCTCTAACCATGGCCTCAGCAATGAAGCAGTCAGCTATCAACTCCATGGGAATTAAAACTTGCAGATTTCCATGCTCCTATCCAGTAAGCTCCTGGTACCTTCAGTTTTTTGCCACCTTGTCCTGCTAGAGAGAGGAAGAGCATTGGTGAGTGTGGTGCAATTTATTTGGTTGATGTGGTTGTTGTGGTTGAACATTTGGCAGTTTGTGCAAGTTGTGAGATGTATACCTGAGGCTTGCTGCACTGCTAAATGTATGAGGGGGTGGTACAGCGTATGAATGTCTGGAATGAGTCCTCAATTACAAAGACTGTTAGTAGGTTAATGTTGGTGATGTGATATATCGAACAATATCTGAGGCAAGTGGTGCAGTTGACAGGATAAGTCATTTAAAATGCATTCTCTGACCTTGATCTCTTGTGTGAGGTCATTGAACCCTTTGTGGTATTGCACCCATGTCCCTGAATGTGACTGCTGGCATTGATCCATGCCTACATGTTCCCACTTCATTCTGAGCATGCGTCTGGTGGGCATTCTGTGGTTACAGGACATCTTTCTTATTTTCTGCCAAATCCACCAAGGTCTAAAGTGCTGTTTCGAAGCAAACTTGGATCCCACAATTCTCCCATATTGTGCCCAGTCTTCAATGATATTCAGATCAGAGACACTTCCTGCTTGACTGACAGGACCTGCTTGACTGACAGGACCTGCTGCAGCCATGGTGCACTTTCCCTTTGAAAGGCTCATCTGGCTTTAAGTATTGCAGGCTAGCTTTAAGTACCGCAGGTTAGCTTTAAGTACTGTAGGCTAGCTTTAAGCACTGCAGACTGGCTTTAAGTACTGCAGGCTCGTTTTAAGCAGTGCAGGCTAGCTTTAAGTGGTGTCAGCTTCTTGTGATATTTCCCTTTTTAATGCATCCAATCAATCAACAACATGATGAGCTGGCATAATAATAATGAAACTATTGAGTTGGGCAGGCAGTGCAACGTTGGTATGCTACATTGCAATTGACAGGCATTGGTTCTTCATGCATCCTGATTCCCTCTGTGGTTTATGGTTGCTCCAGAATTTAGTATCCCTAATGTACTACACCACCTATAATTGGTGTAGTTTTAGTTACTTACTGAACAATTTTGAGAAGCTGAGAAATTCATGATACATTATACAGTTCAGGCAGTCTATATTCAATCAATACCTCTGTGGATGCTCTCACGAATATGTTATCTCCCACTTTCTCCCCTGGGAATTCTTTCTGAAATTGCACAGTGTTTGACTTCTTACTTATTATTTTCCTGGGTTCTCAGGTGTCTTTCTTTCTTATTTTCTCTAACTCCTAGGTTTTTCAGGCTTTTAAAACTGAATTTCCTCTGAAATGCTTGCACTTGGTAAAATAGCTGAAAACGTACCAATTTCTGCAGGTGAACAGGGTTTCTGCCACACTGCAGCAAAATGTATCAGTGGATTTAGAGGAAGAACAAGTTTGAGGAGAATCCTGGCATTTTTGTCAACAATTACTTCTTCATTCTTCAGCTCCATTTCTATTATTTTCAATATTGTCAGCTTGGTTCTCCATGAAACCAACTGCCGAATATAGTAAATCAATGGCCAAATGGCCTGTGCTATATGAATCTATCACACTTATGTCAGTTCTTTTGAAGTGTTCTCAAATTTCTTCCCATGGTTCAGTACTTTTTTCCATAACTTGGAAAGTTACGCTTCTGCAAGGAGACATCCAGTGTTTTATTTTGATCCCGTGGAATCTGATTCCAGTGCCTTTGTAGATAGTGTTGTTCATATCTTAAGATCTTTGTGTAAAGAAATTTCTTCCAATTTCCTCTCTAGTTCTTTTGCAAATGCTTATAAATCTATGATATTTGGCTGTACTCTCCAAATGAGGCAGATTCTCTTTACTGGTTCTGTCAAAAAAAACCTTCTCATTTTGTTTGCATTTCATCTCCCCCTAACCTTCCACTAAAAAAAAATCCTTTAAAGCCACCATACAGTTATTTCTGATTGGTCTGATCCATTTGAAACTGGTAAAATTACTCGTAATAAGTATTAGTGGATTTTGTACACAAAATGCATAACATGCAGCAAAGTCTGAATTGTAACAATGGCCTCAAATCCATACAGTTACACATTGCAAAAGTCACAAGAAAAAGCAATCATACAAATCTGAAATCTTGTAGACAAACTTGGTCCGAATGGGGGAGGTTGGATCTGAAAGGTTCTCTCTGCTTCTCAAAGGAACTCTGAAATGAAAGAACAATTAACAGTCACTGAAGATTACGAGAAACTTTCAATATATACTCCAAGAACATTTAATGTGTGAACATCTTTATTTGATGTTGAGATTTCATCCTGGCACTTATTAAAATCAATCATTTAACGTTTGTTACAATGTAACTGAACAGGAAAATACTGAAACTGAGAGGGGGATGGATACTTAATAACATGAAAGTTCAATTACAATTACATTACATTTAAGTAATTTCACATTTCTCAATGAGGCAATGTGTGTAGTATAACTCAAACTGAACAAAAGTCAGTTTGGGCTTTTTCTTTCCGGCAGAGACTAAGAAGGTAGTTTCGAACCAACTGAATGACACATCATGCAATTGAAACTGGTTGTGTAATTCTATGACTCAAAACAAACATTATAATATTAAACAAAATGAATATATTTTGAATAATGTATTGAGGGAAAGAACTCTGTGATATCATGGGATGGATCAAACTGATGATGATGAAGTGCCATCAACTGCTTTCAGCAGGTTTTAGATGGTCTGGTACTTCTTATAGTCGCAACATCTTCTATGCGGTGGTCATATTAGCACCATGGTCATATAGGACAGCCATTAAACCAGTAAAGGCAACTGTGCACTTGCTTTCTTTATAAAAAAAATTGAATCCTTACAGTGTGGAAATAGTCCTTTCAGTCCATCAAGTCCATACTAACCCTCTGAAGAGCATCCGACCAAAACCCAGCCCCCTACCCTATCCCCATTTTTCACCTATCTAGCCTGTGTACTGCTGACAATTTACATTCACCAATCCACCTAAACCTGGAAATCTTTGGAGTGTGGGAGGAATCTGGAGCAAACCCACATAGAAACAGGGAGAACATGCAAACTCCACACAGACAGTCCCCTGACGGTGGTATCAAACCCAGGTCCCTGGTGCTTTGAGGCAGTAGTGCTACCCACTGAACAATCGGCCACTCTGTTCCCCAATTCCTCCAACTGGGACTTTTTAATCAGGTAGTAAGATTGCCCAAGATTTTTTACTTTATTTTTGTGTGAATAGAAGTAGAAATATAGGAGTAAATTTGACAGATTTTGTTTTGACCTGCAGCCTCATTGTGCACATGGAATTTTTGTGTAGAACAGGGAAGTGGGATCATTTGTGTCCAATTTCCTATGTACCTTACAAGAGAAGTATGCTGTTCCCGGCATCCAATCTGACTGATGAATATTATTTATAATCAGTTTCTAGTAGTATGCTTTTCCATTTATTTGACTGTATGGTGAATATAATCAGAAATCAACAGTAATACTTACATAATTTTTATATCTCTCGCCAGTTGTTCCACTTTTTCACCATTAGGCAGTTCAGTGACAATCATCTTAGATGACACCTCCAAAAGCTTACATCTCGATGAAACTAAAAGGTTCCTTTCAGATTTAGCTGTAACGATAGAGATGGTTACAAACTCTCTAAATCTGAAGTACTATCATTAAAAATGAGGAACTAGTGTTTCCTGTATTGGCAGCCCAGATGGAAGTTCTGTCAGATATTAATTGCCAAATATCGCAACTATTAATTTGTGAAAATAAGATAGCTCTGGTTAGCAAATGCACATCACAAAGCTCTTGTTATCTAAGTGAATCATGAAGGAATATAGCTATTTAATAGCGCTGGACTGTGGATAATATCATCAGGGCACCAACAAAAAGGTTAGAGAGGAAAAACAGCTGACCAGTATTCCACAAATACCACCAACCCCACCCCCGCCCTAGGTTGATCAGCATCTGTTAATAGGGAACTTGCTTTCGCAGACGTTGACGCAATTCCAGAATTACCTAACGTTATTATCACGTAACAGGAAGAAAAATGTACAAGCCAAATGATATTAAAATTATAAGCTTGTAACTAACTGATTTATCATTAAGTTATTGTACTCTTTAAAATTATTAAATTATTGTAACAGAGAAAACTGCAGTGTTGATAAGATGGAGGTTGAAACCTTAAGAACCTGGGAAGAAATGAAATATTGGGCTCCCCATTAGCAACAGCATAGTGAAAGAATACAATGTAAATTCACTAGGATGTTGTTTGATTTGAAGAAATACAAATTGCATAAAAGAAACATTGTGATTTAGCCACCTCAACCTAAAGTGGATGACATTGCTGTTGCCCTCTTTGAACTCCATAAGCTTTGTCCACTCATCAATGTACCTTTCTAACTTCCTATTGCCACCTATGTAACATGAATGTCTAACTTTCTGTAAACATTTTTAAACTTCTTATTTCTCCATCTAAGTCACTTCTTTATCTGGTATGAATAATATGTTGGTTTCAGGGAAAGCCCCAGGTGAGATCCCTGGGCTACACCATTTGTTACATCTTTGCCACTTAGAGAATATTTCTTTTGTCACTACTCACTGTGAAAACAAGTACTAATCTATGCTATATTTTATTTCAGCACTAAGAATGTGCAATTTTCCTCATAATTTCTTCCAGCTAGACTAATCAAATGTTTTCTGGAAATTTATGTGAACAATCTCCATGGGTATTATTCCAGACAGCATGCAGGCTAGCAATGTTCTCAAACAAAAATCAACTGCATTAGTTAGATATACCTTGGAATTTATTGCTGGCCCCAAGTGGCAGATCTGGTCGTGAGGTTATTTAATCAGGTAGGAGGGTGGCAAATGGAGATCGTGTCACCCTACCACTTTGACCATAATTAAATCTGTGGCAGGACAGCTATGTAAAGTCTTTCCACCCTGTCACCAATTAGGGACAGCATGGTGGCTCAGTGGTTAGCACTGCTGCCTCACAGCATCAGGGACCTGGGTTCGATTCCACCCTCGGGTGACTGTCTGTGTGGAGTTTGTACATTCTCCCTGTGTCTGCTTGGGTTTCCACCGGGTGCTCCAGTTTCTTCCCACAGTCCAAAGGTGTGCTGGTTAGGTGGATTGGCCATGCTAAATTGCCAGTAGTGTTCAGGGATGTGTAGATTAGGTGGGTTACAGGGGGACAGGTCTGGGTGGGATTCTCTGAGGGTCGGTGTGGGCTTGTTGGGCCAAAGGGCCTGTTTTCACAGTGTAGGGATTTGATGAATTAAGGCCCTTAAGGAGGCAATTAATACACCATTTAACAGTCTCATTACACTGCCCCTGCTATTAATCCAGCAGTGTGCTGACCATATGGAGAACACATCAAGCAAGTTGCCTGTGAACTGCCATTGGGGATCCTTTGTTCAAAGGAACTCAGTGCTATCAAGGGATTTAGCAGCAGGAAGCTTCTCCCCAGCTAGCAGAACATTCAAACAATTCTCTTCAAAAAAACAACATAAATTGAACTTATTTTCACGAAACAATACTTATTTATTCTATAATAAAAGAAAATAAAATAAAAAGTAGATTCGCTAGATATGAACTAAAAACAGAAAGTGCTGGAAATACTCAGTAGGTTTAGCAACATCTGTTGGAGGGAAACAGAATTAATGTTTCGAGTCGAATACTACTGTTCTTCAGAACTTTCTTATACTTTCTTATGCTTCGGACTTTCATGCTTTGGACTTACTGAATTGTATTTCTTCCCTTAACCTTAGGTAGACATTTTTGTTTTCTTTTTAATAGTTGTTTTATATGTGGCTTTACAATCCTGTATTTTAGCTTTGTGTTTTCACTAAAAACTTGTTTTTTAAATATAGTTCTGTGTATTTAAACTGTTGTTCTTATTTTATTATAATTTCCTGACTTTTTCACAAACCTTGATGGGGTTTTTGTTGAAAGCCTATGTTTCTTTAAAAATTGATTTCATTTCGGTAAATTTGTACTAACCTTTCACTTCATCATACTCATTTTAATTGCGGCTTGCTATATATATTAGTTTGAATAGTCTAATCACGAAAACTGTGTTTTTGTATCCGGAAGTGCTCTTACATGCAACTGAGCAGTTTTTATTTCATCACCAAATCACCCATAGTATTTTTTCATCTATTAACTACCACCAGTAAATCACACATGTATAAAACTAGTTTTATATTTTATCATTAAAATATCCCACCTGTGTAAAAAGAATTAATTCCAGAGCATGTACCTTGCTCACAACTGGCACTGTTTGCTTAGTTTTAAGGGCAATCGACTTGTCTGAATTGTAATGAACTATGTATTGGTCATGTTTCTGCTGTCTTATCCTCTCAAGTTAATAAAAACGAAAAAATCATTAAAAAAACAGCTTTGAACAAACCACATAACCTCTTTAGATTGCTGGCACTCAACATGATCATGGGGGTTGATCTTTTCTAGAATAGAATAGAAATTTATTGTCACGTGTAGTTTTATATGAAAAATGCAGTGAACAGTTTTATATGTCACCACACCACAGCACCTACATCAATGACGGAAGTAAAATTAAGACAATGTTCATCACAGTTCAGTTGGGGCTGGGATGGGGGAAAGCCAATTAAGGAACGATGGAATAAATACCCTGAAGATGGACCCGGGATGAGACTGCCAGGCCACTGGAATACTGGGCCAGAAGCCTCGCAGAAGCAGACTGCCATGCCGGGCCGAGACTGCCACTCTTGGACGAGACCGCCAGCCGGGCTGCTGGAGTAGCTAGACGCCAAAGGCGAAGAAAACCTCTACCCTGGGACAAGGCTGCCTGTCTGCTCTTCTGCGATGGCTCCATTTTTTCCAAAATTTCCCCACATCTTTTCAATCCCGAAGAGATTAAAAATATATCCCAGCCCTGAATATACCCAATAGTTCCAAACATTCACAACTCTCTGCATGAAGAGATTCCTCCTTATCTAAGTCCTAAATGATTGATCCTTTTATCTTGAAACTGTGTCCTGTGTCCTGGATTACCCAACCGAGGGACATAAAGACCCTAGTATGTACTCAGTCAAGACCCTCTAAATGCTTCTTCAAAGTCTTGTATGCTTCAATGAGATCTCCTTTCCTTCTTCCAAAGGTAGGCCTAAATTTACACAGTCTCTTATTATAAGAAATCCTCTCATCCTGAGAACCAATCCAGCAGACTTTGTTGTATTGCTTCCAAGGCAAGTATATTCTTCCTAGATTTCAAGACCCAAACAACAAATTGTGGTCCAGGTGAGTTCTTACCAAAGTCCTATAAAATTATAGCATGATTTTGTTATTCCTGTATTCCAATTCCATTTTGATAGATGCCAGAATGCCATTTGCCTTCCCAATATTACTTGCTGTCCCTGCGTGCTAACTTTGTGTTTCATGCGCAAGTGTACCCAGGTCTCTGAGCATCAACGTTTAAAAGTTTTTTGCTTAGTAAACAAAAATCCGCTTTTCCACCTTCAAGGTGCATGCCATCTGCCATCTTGTGTATTCATTAAACGTATCTATATCTCTTTGCAGCCCCTGATATCTGTTTTGGGCTCTCCCAGGGTACTGCATTTCTAGCCTGCCTTGAGTACACAAAGAAAGAGAATGACAAGGTTATTTGATAAAGTTAAAGCAAGAAGAAACCCATATTGTGATGAACTTGGCAGATTTGTCTTAGCATACGAACACGAACGAGATGGAGGAAGATCATAAACAACAATAGTTCATCAGTAGCTGCATCTTTTCTAGTTTTAAACTTTATCCAAGGCTTGGATGTAGAACTGAAACGGACTATTCAGGACCTGATCTGATAATCTTTCTGAATTTTTGTGCATATGTCTGCCCAATATCATCGTGATCTGTGCGATAACCAAATGGAGGTGACCTGCCAGCAAATGTATTGACTTATTAATATCCTGACGGAGACATTAGATGCATGTTAAACAATTAAACATTCTTATATGAGCTGATCTGTCCAAAAAAAATGGACCTAGCAGAGCCAGGTCACTTCCTCTCAAATGAAATAGAAAGTTAGAGAGTATGTGATCTATTAAAACATTGGCTCAGAAAGATCCTGACTAATGAAGTATGCAAATTAATAAATAAGGTTACTAGTTTGTTCGAGACAACAAGGTGCAAGGCTGGATGAACACAGCAGGCCAAGCAGCATCATAGGAGCAGAGAGGCTGAGTTTGTTCAATTTGTTGATGAAAGCAGCATCCTCACATTGTAGTAATTAATCACAGAAACTAGTGTTTGGAGACATTCAGCAGAGGCTAAGTACTAACCCAAAAGAGAGAGAAAATCATGGAAAAAACTGTATAAGCTAAGGACTACCTCTTTTGTAACCCTTGTGTGCTTTAATATAACATACACAGAAATATGTGAAGTCATTTCAGAACATGCTTTTTGACCTACAATGTTGTACAAGTAGAGTACTACTGTCATTTTCTTCAGAACAAGATGTTGAACCAAAGTGTTCTGCACTTGTCTATGCTCACAACAGGAAAAAAAAATACTTATGAACTTATTCAAAGATGAGCTGGGATGTTTTCCCAGTGAAAAGATTAACATTTATTCCTTAACCAACATCTTTGAAACAGCTCAGTTTTTCAAAAGAATGATCTCTACTGAAGCGATTATATTCTTTTCTATTTTGAAATACACAGTAATCTATAGTCACATTAGTTTATGCTTAATCTTCAGTTGTGTTGCGATGAAAAACTAAAGTACTTTAACAACAGGACTGACAGACACATTTAAAATGCATGTTCAGACATGGTAGAAATAACTGTCAGATAAATTAACAATCTTTGCATGATGTTGTCTGTGTCTAAATTATGTATAAAGAGACCATTTTCTTTTTGTTTTCAAGAAGAAGCTCACAGAACATGATACACAACATCACTGTTCATAAATAGTCATTGAAAATTCAACTTATACTGATTATAGTGATGAGCTTTGACCAATTCTCATACAAGTATCCTCACAACCCAAGTCCAACGATGCTGTGTCTAATTATCATAGAGAAGGCTGTCTTCCTGTATATGTGGGCTAACAAAGGAGGAAGTATTTGCTCATCATAATGCCATAATTATAATGATAGTTAAAACCTTACCTGCTGAAAGAGCTGTGTAAAATAGAATTGCTGCAAGTATCCCCAACATATCTTTACTCTTCATCATGGGACTGTCTACTGCAATGATCTTCCTTTACTGTGGCAGCTGGTCAATTGGCCTCAACGGTAGCTCAAGCAAAATGAAACAGCATATGTTTTGCCTGTCGTATGAGTTTGTTTCTTTTAATAACTCCAAGCTAGTTTCTGTTCCATTTTAAGAAGTAGCTTCATTGTAGAAACAAGATGCCAGCTATCCTGTTTTTGATTGTGGACATTTTAAAAACAAAATCTACTATCATCCTCTCAAGTCTATTTTGTACCTTCACTCCCCATATCTACTTTATAATATGGAGACTAGAAATGTGTACAGTATTCATTTAGGTGAGACCTAAACCAGCTTAATATAACTTCTCTGCTTCTCAATTCTAACCATCAAAATATGAACTAATCAGAAAGATAAACTTGGTTTTGAGGAGGTTACTAACAGGGTTGATAAAGAAACTCCATTGACTCCTACAAGGTATTCATTGAGAATCTACATAAAGGACTACAGGCAAACATGAAAGTATGTGAAATTGGAGGCAGCCTATTAATAAGGGATTAGTTCAAAACTGTGAGGTAGAGACTGTGGAGAATGGGAAAACTGCCAATAGGCTATCAGCAGTGGTGCAATGGATAGCACTCTTGCCTCTGTGATGAGAAGTTCCTTGGTTCAAAAGTCATTTTAAAGACTTGAGCAGGTAACCCAATTACTGTTCCAGTGCAGAGCGAGAGAGGTGTTCTGCTGTGCTGTGGGAGGTGCAATCCTTCAGAGAGACGTTAAACTGAGCTCCTATCTGCCTTTCTTGTGCATGTACAAATTGCTGCTGTGTTTCCTACATTATTCCAGTGACTACAGTTCCAAAAGTGCTTAATTGGCTGCAACGTGCTTTGGACTGTTCAGAAGTCATTAAAGGTGTTGTATTAATGAAAGCCTTTTCCTTCTTGCTTTCTTCAGAATGTGATCGGTGCAGCCCCAAACAATTTGTACTGAGTCTTAATTTTTCAATTACTGCAGTGAAAGTTGTCCTTGCCAAACAAATTGAGGATGAATGAGGGCCTCTGTACAGCAACTCCCACCATGGGGCAATCCATAGAAGCCCTTTATGTACTTGTGAAGAGACTCAAACAGTGCTGCACGATACCAAGAAGTCTCCCTTTCCCCGATTTAAATGGGGACTAATCACCTAAGCTCTGCAAATGAGGTGGTACTTGTTTGCCTCTGGGGATTTGTAATTTACTAAATAAATAAGTTATAAATGGTGATACATTCTGTCAATTGCTGTGCTTCTGCATTCTTTCAACAATGGTTTGCCCTTTTTCTCTTCTATCTACCTGTTATCTGTTGTTAGCTATTTTCTTCTACTTGCCAATGATTTCACCTTCTGGTACATAATTTCAATTATGTGATATCTTTCCAACTCCACCATTTTATCAGACATCTCATTATACTATTTCTCTTTAGAATGTCTATTTATATTCTTTATTTCCTTTTCAATTTCATCGTACTCAGTGAATTGTATAATGATCTAAATTGAGGGAGTCCTCCAGATAATTGATGAGAATTAAGGACCAAATATTATGTTATTAAAGGTAAATAATGCTTTGAAACTGATGAGCACAGATAAAAAAAACTCCAGGCTGAATGGATGAAATAAGAATAGAATGTCTAAAAGCACTTTGAGAACAAAGAATTAGAAATGAGAACAGAAATTTGTGATTAAATATATACCAAAAGATTTATTTCAGGTGACCTCGACACATTCACTATTTGTTAATTATTTAAGAAACCTAAATCAATGGAGTTTAGAACCAAAAGCTTCATCAGCCATCTCATTGAAGTGAGCTTGAAAAAGATAATAGAGACAAATATGAATAATAATAAGGCATTTGCTGCAGAAAATAGTAAAACACAGCCTGGATTTAGACCTAGAATAAAAGTAAGGAGAGTATTTATTCTCAGAACGATCTTCAACAACTATCCAGAAGTAGGCAAGAGCATTTACATATGCTTCATTGGTCATGAAAAAGCATTTGATCTTGTTTATCATTAAAAGTTATAAGACATGTTGCTGAAATGTGACATTGACAGGGAAGATGTGTGTTTTATCCAGAGCCTATGTTGAGACTAAATAGCAGCATCAGACTAGAAGAGAAAATACCAGATATGTCTCAAGTGAAAAATGTATTGTTCTTGTGGTACCATTCATGAAGAGCAGAGAGCTTTCCAGCCTAACATTATCTCTTCAGCAATTCAGCTGTTAGTTACACTCATCTCTTACCTTCAGGGTCCTAGGTTGGAACTATATAAAATGTTGGATAGGCCACAACTACAGTATTGTATGAAGTTCTGAAATCCACATTATAACAGGAATGTGATTGTACTGGAGAAGGTGCAGAGGAGATTTACCAGTGCATTGCCTGGGCTGGAGAGCTTTAGTTATGAAGGTTGGACAGACTGGGGATGTTTTCCTTGGAGCAGAGGAAACTGAGGGAGACATGATTGAGATGTATAAAATTATGAAGGGTATAGACAGGCTAGACAGGAAGAATCTTTTACGCCTGGTGGAGAGTCAATGATCAGGGAGCGTAGATTTAACGTAAGAGGCTGAAGGTTTAAAGGGGATTTAAGGGAGAAAGAATTCACAGAGGGTAATGGAAATCTGGAACTTACAACCTCACTGAAGCAGAAACTCTCATAACTTTTAGGAAGTGGTTAGATGTGAACTTGCGATGCCAAGACTTACAAGGCTATGGGCCAAATGCTGGAAAATGGGAGAAGAATAATTAGGTGATTGTTTTTGATCACTGCAGACTTGATGGGCTGAGTGGCCTTTTTCTGCCTGTAGACCTCTTTGACTCTAGGCTCAAGTCCCTCTTTGGGCCTCAACATGAAAATTCAGGGTGACTGCCCAGTGCAACAATGAGAGTCTGTTAAAGATGCTGACTTTTGGATGAAACTTTAAATTGAGATCCTGTCTGGAGCTTGCCTGGATGACAAGTATTGTACTTTTGTACACTGCTGCTTTTCAGAGTTTGCTGCATTCAATTTAGCTGTTTAATTTCCTGCATTACAAAAATGACTGCAAAAGACTTCAAAACGTACTTCATTCTCTGTAAAGTGTTTGAAAATGTCCAGTGGTCATGAAAAGTGCTGTATAAGTGCAATTCTTTCTTTTTTAATAGTCTGTTATTACCTCTCTGGGCATGGTGACTTATGGCTAAACATATGTATGAAGAGCTTAGCGATTTCCAAACATTTTTTCTTCTCTCTTCTTTCTTCTCAGCCTCGGACTCTTGACCTCAGTGTGGACCTGGCCAGGAACCCTCCTGGCCTGGCATGCCTGTTTCCCAGCCTGATGTGGCAGTCTCCTGGCATGGCATGGCAGTGCTTTGGCTTGGTGTGGTGGTATTTCAGTGGCACATGGCAGTCTTTCAGCCCAGTGTGGCCTCAGTGTGGGCTTCTGGCCTCAAGGTAATTCCAGAGTGGCCTCTCAGTCTCAAGAGTCTCAAGGTGAAGCCTGGTGCAGTCTAGAATCAAGGCTGGGGGAGGGGTTACTGGAGACTAGGTGCCAGCATGGACTGGGTTGGAAGGATTGTTATTCCGAAATTTTTATTTCTCTATTTTCTAATTTATTCCTATGATCTGCAATGCTGGACTTCTTATTGTTTTACTTTTCTAATTTTCCTCCTAAGAAGTTGTACTAAAGATTCTGTACCTAGGTGCCTTGTACCTAAGATGGCGCCATAAGTGGTGACTTGTAAATTTTTCATTGTACTGATTTGAGTACCTGTGACAATAAAGCTAATTCAATTCAATTATTGTATTTGTGGTATTTTTGCTATTGAATTTATGTCAGTGAGTCAATGAATAAGGAAGAAGACAGAAGGAAATTAATATGGCACTAATTTTGAGTTTATGGGAGCTCATTTTATTTCTGTTTCAAGCTCTGTCTCCTACTTCCCTAATGCTCTAGAGATAAATTGTCCAGGCAGCAGCTTGAAAGGAATAAAATAAGTGTCATCTGCGCCCTCCTTCAGTTCTGGTCATTTATGACCAATCTTACATGAGAAGCAGGAAAATGATCAATGTAAAGTTAGGTGGCAGATACCTTCTAACGAATCCATTTTATTTGGGAGTGAACATGAGCATGGGAAGACAATGCCCTAGAGATATTATCAATAGACTATCAATCCACAGACCAAACTCATGTTCTGGGCACTTGGTGGAATCCCACCATGTTGGATCATGGAATTTGAATTCAGTATAAAATTAAATTAATGGTTTCACAGTCATCATTAGACTTTATCAATAGTTGTAAAAACCTATCTGGTTCACCAATGCCCTCAAGGGAAGGAAATCTGGTCTGTATGTGACTCCAGACTCATAGCAATGTGTTTGACTCTTAATTGCCCTTTGAAATGGCCTAACAAGCCACTCATTTTGGCTCACACACAACTAATGTGCCAGAAACAACAACAGTAAACACAGCCCGGTCAACCCTGCAAAATGCTCATTACTACCATCTGGGGACTAGTGCCAAAATTGGGAGAGCTGTCTCACAGACTAGTCAAGCAACAGCCTGACATAGTCATAGTCATGGAATCAGACCTTACAGACAATAGCCTAGACATCACCATCACCATCCCTGGATACGTCCTGTCCCATTGGCAGACCAGACCCAGCAGAAGTGGTGGCACAGTGGTATAGAGTTGGGAGGGAGTTACATTGAGAGTCCTTAGCATTGACTCCAGATCCCATGAAGTCTCATGGCATCAGATCAGTTGTTAATTTTCAAACAGAGATAGATAAATTTTTGTTAAGCAAAGGTATAGATATGGGCTAAAAGCAGGTAGGCCACAGATAGGCCGCAGATGAGCCAAGATCTCATTGAATGGCAGAACAGGCTCAAGGGGCTGAATGGCCTACTCCTGTTCCTACGTTTCTATCAAGTCAAATAGGGCAAGGAAACTTCCTGCTGACTAGTAAATAAGTCCCTCCCCACAGCTGATGAATCAGTGCTCCTCCGTATTTCTGAAGTTCACTTCTTGGAGCAAGCATGGAGGATAGCAAGGATGCAAAATCCGCTCTGGGTGGGAGATTTCAATGTCCATCACGAGGAGTGGCTCGGCA